TTGATCTGAAAAAAAAAATGACGTGCATCAAGGTCCTATTATGTTTAATGTATGTACCAAATTTGAATGAAATCCGTCCATGCATAACTGAGATCTGGGTCCGGAATGGTGAAAATGTGCGATTTCAATGCATTTTCGGCCTTAAAGCGACCGCCATTTGGATATCGTTAATGGGATCATGAAACAAATGCACATACATATTTGTGACATGATGTACCTTGTGTGTGTGAAGTTTGAACTTGATCAATCCAGACATGTCTCGGATACGGATCCAGAACTGAATTCTTTAAAACAAAATGGCCGCCAGTCGGCCATTTCGAACTTGATCCGGAAAAACAAATGACGTGCATCAAGGTCCTATTATGTTTAATGTATGTACCAAATTTGAACGAAATCTGTCCATGCATAACTGAGATCCGGGTCCGGAATGGTGAAAATGTGCGATTTTGATGCATTTTCGGCCTTACAATGGCCGCTATTCGGCTATCGTTAATCGGATCATGAAAAAAATGCATGTGCATATGTCCCATATAATGTGTGATGTATGAGTGAAGTTTGAACATAATCGGTCCATGCATGTTCGAGATACAGGTGATCACGGACGGACGGACGGACGGACGGACGCACACATTAATTAATTATGCAAATTAAGTAATTACATTATAAAAACTATCAGGTCTGTGCAGTGTCATATGACATCTATGTACCAAGTTTCATTGAAATGTGATGGTTAGTACAAATATTTATCCAAAACAATCAATCTCTGCATAGTCCTTGAGTATGTAAGTACCAAGTTTCATTAAAATGTAATGCTCACTTACTTATATCAAAAGCTGAAAATTAATTAATTATGCAAATTAAGTAATTACATTATAAAAACTATCAGGTCTGTGCAGTGTCATATGACATCTATGTACCAAGTTTCATTGAAATGTGATGGTTAGTACTTGAGATATCAGTGGAAAAACTGAAAATTGACTAATCATTATGCAAATTAGGTAATTAATATGCACGGATTTTTACCAAAAACTAATCAAATCTGCGCATATGTTCAGAGCATCTATGTATCAAGTTTCATCAAAATCCAATGAGTGGTTCATTAGATATCAGTGAAACAGTCATAGAACAGCTAAAATTAGCTAATTATCATGCAAATTAGTAATTAACGAGCATGGATTTTTAACAAAACCTAATCAAATCTGCGCATTGGCCCAGAGCATCTATGCACCAAGTTTCATCAAAAACCGATGTATGGTTCTTGAGATAGCAGTGGAACAGTCGGACACACATACACACATAC